CTTGGTGAAACCAAAAAAATACATCCCCCCATCACAACTCACAAAGGATACTCCCCACCAGGCCCCTGGACACAAAGAAGAATCACTGAATAGAGCTCAAGGTTTTTCAAGAACGATTATATATTCGATTATTCGTTTGATCCGTGATCCCCCTGGTTTTCCGGTCAGTTGGATCTCATTTGACTGGTGCTCATATATAAACACTGTTCAATGAGGCAAAGGACCAGGTTTTACTGGGTCGGACTGGACCCCAGTAGGCTCCACCAATCCCAGACGACGTGTCGGGACTGTCGGACTGCCGCCCTATCTGTCTATACCCCCAGTCAACTACCCCAACGGCCGTTTCTCGGCAGTCCCATGGGATGTGTCTGACCGATTCCCTGGACCCCGAGCGATTCCCAGCTCCCGATTCCACTCTCATCCGGTCATACCTGCAAACACCACGGCGGCATGGGGTTGACTTCTTAACGTTGGAGGAAAATCACCATGACCATGACATAAGATACTATTAATATACATATATTCGACACATTTTTTATGGGCTGGGGCACCCTGGGAAGCATTCTGTGTTTTCTGAATCATCTGATCCAACTGTATTTGCAATTGGATGTATTTCGGTTTTAAGCTGCCAACAAATCGATCCTCTCAGTCAACAATGTCAAGGCGTCCATATATACAACCTACCAGGACCCTCCTGTCCGCGTGTCCAATGGACTACCCCACACTACCTATAGGCTTCCAAACAGGGCACCACGACTGGAGGGTCCTGGTCGAGTGTCGTCCTGTTCGGACATCGTCCCAGCTGCCCTAAACCCTCCTCATCGAAGGCTTTGAGGCTTGACAGCTCATCCTGCAGCGCTGCTTAGGTGCCCGGTGCGTCCAGGCACGCGCGTTCGTCCGCCACCAACCGGAGAGGAGAGGAGGTGACACTGACACGAGTTCGTGAGGCAAGGCATAAGGTGAAAAAGAAACATATCATGACATATCATTACCTGACGTTATCAAGGATTTTTTTTTCCTTATCATGACATATCATTACCTGACGTTATCCTGAGTTGGCAAGTAGCGAGCTTAGCTGCATCCCTTTTTGTGCACCCTTTCTGTGCCACAAAAACACGTCTAGAGTTCTCTAGTCTCGATTCCGACTGCACCAACCTGGACCCTCAAAGTCCTCCTACAAATTGGTACTAGATACTACCTGTTTTAATAGAATCCTGTCATGTCATGTCCCATTTTTACTTAGGGTACTTTGGAGGGGAAGACCTTTTGCATTGTCGCCCCGCCAGATCGGAAGTGCATCCAACACTTCTGGACTCTGGACCGAGTTCGGCTCCTGCCGTGCGCGCAAGCGCAAGGGCACAAGCCTCGGGAAGGAGCGCATTAAGGCCATCGTGGTGGCCATGTTCATCATGTTCACCCCAACAGAATGCAACATTTAATGTGCTGCATCTAAAGATCTGGCTCATTCTGGCTTCATTATTTTTATAGTTACACTTCCTCACACATGCTACAGAGCTCATTGATAGCTCGATTCAATTAGACTGCCACTCAACCACGACAAGAGGAATGGAATCCTCAGGGTGTCACATGTCCTCAAAGTCTGGCTGAAAAAAAACCTCTCGATCGAATTGAGGTTTGTTCTTTGCACCTTAATCAAAAAGAGATATGATAAGAAATCTTCTTGAGCTTAAGATGGTTTATATAAGTATGTTTAAGGTATACTGCGGTATACTATAATTACTATGATATACTCTTCCTCTCAAAAGACCGGTCAAAGGGGCCTATCCTGGCTCCTCACATCCCATCTAAACACACTCTTCAACTCATTTGCTGCCCAGGCGCCCAATGGTGACCTAACGTCACCTGCAGTATGACCTCGCCTTGTGAAAAGGCTGCGGCAAACTAAGCTGCTCGGCGGTGTTTCCCCAAACGACTCAACGACCCACCCATCAGACCCCGCTCGTTTTCTCGACGTGTTCAGTGCTGGAAGCGCAAGTTGCTTTGGTCGCGACAGCCAGCTCCCATGTGTTTTCTTTCTGGGGAGGCCCAAGAAAGCGGTCCAAAAACGTGGTGCTGCCGCCGAAAACTCGGTGCCGCCGAGATCGGCGCCGAAAACGCTGGGGGGGAAAGGTCTGAAAGGTGAGGTGGATTGGAATTATGGCGATCGTAGAAAACTATGGACAACACCTGACCTTTCAGATGGTGGACTATGGACTATGAAAACATCCACCACAAATCGTTGATGGTGAGGTGATTGTTCTCAACATGATCAGATCGGATTTCGAACATCACAGCGGTCGCGTCTTCGGCCCGGTCCAACAGAGCGCCAGAGCGGAGCTAGTCACTTAGTTCCATTCTGCTGGCCATCTGGATCGTGAAGAAACATGTTGAGGCCCCAAAGTCAGCGAAACGAGTTGTCACAAGACGTGCACATCCCTCAGCATGTCCAGTAGGGAAAACAAGGCAACGACAGAGAGTCAGTTCCGCCGATCCACCCTTGCATCTTGCATCTTCAACGTTTTGTTTCGTTAACAAACCCTAGGGCTCCAAGTACCTCCTCAGAAGGTATGACTGGAGCCCAAACCGGAAAATATTCTATGTCCACCCCTGTGGATCTAATCCTCCGGAGTCGGCCGGAGGATATATCATGACTATCATGGATATATGATATCCCAAACACTCCATGGGACTGGCATATTTGCACACTTGACCCCATTTCAACCACCCCAATGTATACAGCTAAATATGCCAATCCCGCGGAGTGTCTGGGTATGAGAACCTAGTGAGTCACAGCCTGTGCACCGTCGACCACGCTGTTCGTTCGGACATCAAGGTGACCGTCTCGTCAGACTTGCCGGACCTTCCTTATCAGTCCATCGACCAACTTCCAAGCGAACTGTCACTTCAACATCCAGCCCAATCTTTCCCAACGAAACAAGTTTTTCATGGAAGGACGTCGGACGAAAGCGTGCTAGTAGCCGCTAGTAGCAAAGAAGAGACCCATCTCATGATACATCCGCTCGCGCCGCTCGCCCTGCAGGGGCCTTCTTTTTCGGTCGACCTGATTCTTCACGTGTGTCGACGCGACTCGCGGCGCTGGTTCGCGACGCCAAGTCGCTCGGACGTTTCAATAGTTTAACCGATGTCATAAGCCTTCGATGGCAGTTTGGAACGTCAACGCCAAGCGCTTGGCACAGCAGCGAGGAAAACGACTCCTGGATGCGCCTGGAAATAGGAAGAACACCCTTTTTAAGAGAACGAGGCTCAGATTGGACGACTTGAACACTTGGCTGAGTCCCATAATAGAATATATACATTCATGGATGTCCTTTTTGTATCATGTTGTTCATATATCCACTGGCTCATGGCCATAAGAAGAAACAGCCACTCACACATCCAGAAGTTGACAAAGTTGACATGCATTTAATCATTTAGCAGTGACTTAAACACATCCAGGTATTGTACATGCAAAAAGGCGCCTTTGTTTGTACAATCCACTGAGATGGAATCCTGTCTTTTGGGTCTCTCACTTGCCCTCCCTCTCTCTATCTCTCTGTCGCTGATTAATCGATCTGCGCGATTCTTCTGTTCAAACTGCAAGCTTGCATTTTCAGCTGGCTGTCCGTACATTTCTTCTCATGTTGCAATTACAACAAATTGCTTCGGATATTATATAGTAGGATTTAGATAGGTTTAGTATGGTTTAGCAGATCTCCAACTCAATGCTTTCATCCGTGTATCTCTGTGGTCGCTTTTGGGGAGTGTTGGTCAAATCCTCTGCAAGTAAGACTACCCCCACGCTTTCACGCCACTCTGCAAAATAACGTACTGCACCCACTCCGCGGAATCCCTCCTTTGCCTATGGCATCAAGTAAAACACCTCTTCAAGGACGGTGACGGTGGCATCCATGTGTATTGAAATTGAGGATCAATTGTTGTTTAGTGGGATCTTCTATGGGAAGCTCGTACTGTATCTAGACAACCAGCGTTTAAACGTGTGAAAAATAAAAATCAGGGCACGGCCCCAAGCATGGTTTCTGACACCATTCTTGCACAAAAGGAAAACACTGAAGGAATAACAGGGCACGGCCCTGCACCTGCTACCTTGCCATGTCCTGTGCCAGACTTGCAGCACGCCTCAGGTATTGCGTATTGCCACGTTTTGTCATGGCGACTGGTCCAGACTCCTTAAAAACTCTCTCAATTCACATCTCTGCAACCTGGCAAAAGCTGAGCTTCCATCATCAAAGACTTGGAAGGTCTTAAATCCAACAGTGATTGAAAGTACTGTACGCCTTCCATACAGCAGGTGGAACGGTGGAACACCAAGGGCTCAGCTGGAGCATACCAATCAGCATTCGAACATCCTCTGGGGAATCCATTGACTGGTGGCATTTGCTGATTGAGGATATGTTTGTGTACTACCTGGACCCTCCAAAGTACCTTAGAAAATGGGACATGATCCCCACTGGTGGACGAATTGGTCCATCACCCCAACTGGGAACCCCGGTGAATGACAGCTTCTTCAATGCTGCGACGCTCAGCGGGAGAACGGTATCAACAATATCGATGTAGGAGAGGTGGGTCGTTGGTGCTTGGGGTTAAACTCATGTGAAAGACTACGCATCCGAAAGCAACACGGTAACGCCTGTGTCCTAGGGCTTCATGAAGACTGATGCTGCTGACCCGACTGTGGACGTCTAGGACTTTTTGCACTGAAAACATGGTGCGTTTTCAAGCGAGCTGCGAGCTAAAGCCTCACCACCCGGTTAGAAGCAACTCTCTGAGAGGGCCTCTGAAGACTCTTACCATTTCAAATGCTGCTAGAACATGTACAAGAAATACACACCGAGTCTTGACCATCGGCTACTTGTTAGGATTGCCTGAGCCCACAATTACGATTCCCAAGAAAATTTGTGCTGACGATCTCGAATCAAGACCCATCCGCTTCAGCATGTTGGTCGGAACTCGTCGACCCTTCTCTCGCCTCACCTCGTTCCTTAGATGGTGAGCATTTCCGGTCGCTGCGCCGCCACGGTGGGGTCCTCTTCATCCAGCAAGACCTCGTTTGGATCGACCCAGACGCTCGTTGGTGCAGACAAAGAAAGAGCGAAGAGCGTTGCGTTGTGGCGCTGGAGGTTGGTTATAACTTATAACATGTGATGACCCTGTTCCACATTGTGACGTGTGTTTTGTTTCGTGTCCCGCACGGCGTGGCACATGTGTCCACGGCCAGCCTCTTCTAGTCGAGTGGTGTGGGAAAAGCTGGAGCCCTTAGGTTGTTCTATAGGTCCTCATGAAAGTTGACTTCCCTGGTGGGCCATCCATTCTGGTCAACCAGTCGGGCCATCCTTTTCTGTCTCGATCATGTGCGGTCCATGTGCAGTCATTGGGGGCAGGCATGGTCTCGGAAGACCAGTCTCCACCTCTTTGAAGATGTATTCAGCAATCCGAACCCAACTTCTTGGGCAACCGAATGTGTCATCCGCCTTTTCCAACCCGAACTCTTTGCGCGGACCTGCTTCCTAGACACAAATCCGGTGTCGAAGACAGCACATACGACGAAGATTTTTTTTTACATGGATCTGTGTTTCCTTTACAACACAAGTGGACACATCTCTCTCTCTCTCTCTCCCCAAATGTATTCACTGCATTCTTCACCTATCCATCCACTCCTTTGAAAACACACATCCCAATGGAATGCGCCGAACGTGCAAGAATGTGCCAGACCGGTCGTCTTGTAGTATCTCTCTCCACTCTCCACTACAGTATCTCTATTTGGGATTGATTCAATGCTCTATTGGTGCAAAGATACTGCTCTAAGCCTTAGTGTTTCTCCACTATAGAGTGTTTGTATAGTATCTCCACTATACTACGTTTCTCTAAGTCTTCTCAAATTCGTTGATGTCCGGCTCAGCACCACGGTCAGCACCGGCTCACTCAGCACCATGCAGCTCTCTTCGGCCCGGAACCCGGCCGAACGACGTGGCCTCTGTGCCGGTCAGCGTCAGCATCTCCCGGTTCGAAGCCGAAAGCATCGTGCTATATGTGCTTACCAGTTAACATCAGTTAACTATAGTGTCCATCAAAGCTAGGTGATGGGGTCCCAAAAAGACCGGTGGAAATGCATCCGTACCCCGGGTCCATCAACCTGAGTCGTCCGCGTTTTTCACCTGAGGGTCCCAAACCATGGCACTACGAGAGCGGCAGACCTGGCGAACGGGCCGCGAGCGGGCGGTGGTGGCGCGCCCACCGAGACCGTCATTCAAAGGAATGACCCTCAAAAGGGAAGTATCAGCGAGTTCTGGATTTAATTACGGCCATAAAAACGGCCCACTAACAAACATATGTGAAACAGTTGCAGCTGAAGCATCTTAAAGCCTTAACGAGAAAGTAGTTGCTTTTAACAAATACATTCTGAAATCTCTGAAGGCAGATTTACCGCTACCTTCCAGAAAGGTCCTCTCAGAGTCCTCCCCTTTCCATTTTCCCCTTTCACAGACCCGTTTGTCGCTTTCTTTCTTTAGACAATTAAGACAATATACTGAGTTGATCTGAGTTGTATTTAAGATAGATCAAAAGGACGTACGCGCCCACTTCCTCTGATTAGCCAGCTACTCCACTCACGGACTCAACACCACCCCGTCTTGTGACTGCTGCCTCCTCCCAGGTCAGCGCGTCCCCGCCGCTCGCGGCGACGGCGGAGCCCAGCTCCGCGGACCAGGCGTTCGAGGCGCTGCCGGTGCCCTTCCTGGCGCAGTAGGGTGGCCAGGCTAGAGTGGTAGGGGAGACAGGAGTGGTAGGGTAGGGTTTAGACTCAGGAGTTGGTGGTTTTGGAGCTGGTGGAGTATGTTGGAGTTTCAGTGAACTTCAGAAGAGTTTGGGCAAGACTTTCAGTGGGTATGTGAGCACAATTTCAGATGGTGTGGAAGAAACCCCAGTTTGGTTCTAACCACATCCTGCGGATGGCAACATCTCTCTGATTCCAATGTAAATACCCAACAGCTACACGATGCAGACCCGGAGTCTGATTGCTCCCAAGATGATGGAGGCCATCCACCCACAACACGTGGATATACTGCCAAATTCATTGAAGACACAATATACCAGGAGTCACAAAGGGGTGCCTATTGGAGGTTAGGGGTGCCATTATCCACTCACTTAGGGACCAAACACCACCCCGACATGTGACCCCTGGTACCAGCACCCGACTTCACAGGTGGTTTTCGGTTGATTCTATCGGATTCGAAGGGTTTCCCTCTCTTCCAGAAAACCGATGCTTGGTTCCAACTTCTGGGTTCCAACCAGGCCATGTCACTTGGAGATAACTACACTCGGTTCATACATCGCATGGATGTGGAAAAAAGGAACGGTTTGAAGAACATAGATAAGGGAAATTGGGTTACGCCCCTTGTTTGTAGAGGAAAGTCGTCATCCAAAAAACCCTAAATGCCATCCACCTGGGACCTATTGTGTCGTCGGGAGCTGCTTGCCGGAGGCCTGGCCTCCCTTCAAACTCACCCGCTGACCCACCCCCTCCCGACCCTCCGACCAAGCCTTCCTCACTGATTCACAGACCCTCCGACCCAACCAAAACGCCGAAACATCGCCCAAGCAAACGCCTCAAACATTGCGAGGTGCAGGTATAGAAGCCCAACACCCGGAAGATGCTCCCAGCCGGGAACAGCACCTGGTGAAACATGGCCAACCACCGAACCACCAGGGTTAGGGCCGCGTCTCTGAAGAGCACGGCCAAGGTGGTGCTTCATGGAGAGGCCATGGAGACCATGGTGTTTGATTGGGCTTTGACCGTGCGATTCTCCGCACGGTAGACCCCCAGACCAACGCTGGAGCTTGGGTCAAAAGCCTGAAGCTTTCAAAGCCGTAGCTTGGAACATGCTGGAAGGACCATGGGGTCCGGTGTCCCAATTGAAAGGCACATCATCATCATTATCATCATCATCATCATCA